TCCCCTCTCTCCTCCTACCCCCTCCCATCTCTCCCATCTCTGTCCCCTCTCCCCTCTTTATCTCCCCTCCCCACCTCTGTATGTGTGTGTGTCTCTCAGCATGCATATTTCCTTCTTTAATGGATATAATCTACTTATTTTCAATTTCTGTGACTACATGGAAACCATCCTTTTAAGCCTCTAAGATAGTATCAGTATACTACTATCTGATACTTGCTTCTTTTGTTTGGTAAGAACATTGGGGGAGAAACTATTTCTTTTTCTGATACAAAGTTTTCAAACATTGTTTAATGAGTTGAATGTGGTAATGTGCCCCTCTAGCATTTGGGAAGTAAGCCAGGAGAACTGTTACCTCAATCATCCTTCGCCACATAGAGAGGCCAGGAGCAGCTAGACTGGATGAAAGACTTCTCAAACACAGATACTGCTATGAAAAACTTAATATCCTTAACTCCATTAAGAAAATTATTGTAACAAACCTGATAACAGTAATAAGCCAATACTATATATTAACCACTGTATTGATGATAATAGGGAAGAAAGAGAATTCAACAGGTTTTTACTTTGTGGGTCTTATTACTTCTCATATTCTTATTAATATTAATATTTTTATATTAATTCACATACAATGTTCCATTGTACAGGAACATTCAGTCTCTTGTATGCCTTAATTATTTATTTTCGAACAACCAAGTATAGAAACTACAAAACTTAGCAATCTATGAGTAAGAAGTCAGGATGAATTGCTTTTCCATTCCTAAGCCCCCGAATGTTGAGAGACATATCCATGGGCTGTTAGGTACAAAGCTGCTAGGCTTTGATGTGTGATTCAGTTTCTTAATGATAGATATTTGAGCACATATACTTTTTCTTTACAACTAGGTAAAAATTACCTAGCTCCATGAATTGTCCTAAGGTACAAAATAAAACCAAGTTTTTTCTGAATGGTAGATAGGAAAATATTGAAGAAAAGTTATAGAAAATTGATGTTAAAATTACTGTAAGAGCACTTGAAATTGTACTTAAAAGTTTTCTGTTGTTGTGGACAGATGGCTGAAGTCATTAATTTTTAAATAGGAGAAGTTTGTTTTGGCTCTTGGTTTTAGAGTTTCAGTCCATGATCCATTAAGTCTGTTGCATTGGTTGAGGTATCACATCCTCTTGAGAACAAATCACAGAGCAACAACTACATACCTTGTTGTCAGGAAACAAATAAAATGTGACAGGAGGTTTGTAATCGGAGATATTTAGAAAAGCTGCGGCGTGGCCGGCTATATAATCAGCAGGCCGACTCTGCTTAGGTCCGGCTGCCATGTTCTACACAAGAAGCAGCTAGAAGCCAAGTGCGTCACAGTCAGAAGTGGCCAGAGGTCAGGCGCCAGAGCTAGACACAGGAGACACCAATGTGGTTTCTGGCTCTGCCAATCCACCACGGTATCCACAATGCTTGGCTGAGCCCAGACCATTCCCGCTATGCCCGAGGTACCTGGTAGAATGACTCTCAATAGTTAAAGATTATCCAATAGATTTATATATTTGGAAATGCTCAATTAACAAGATGCCCACACAATTAGAATTGTTATCCAATATCTAACCTTTTGATAAGTAGCTAGCAAGGACTGCTCTCGAACCATCTGCCCTCCTCCATTGGTTGCTAGCCTCCTTCCTTTTTCCTCCCCTTCCTCTCTCCGCCTACCTTTCATACTGCCCAATCACTGAGCTCCACTGCATTTACAATGTAGCAGTAGCAAGAAATTATCCTGCTACAGAGGTGGGTGACTCAGTAAGTGCCCTAGTACTACTTGGCCTCTCTCCTATAAATGCCACTACCTCTCAGTGTACTTCACTACTTGAACAAATCTCAGACATTTGTGGACATTTTGAGATCCAAGCTATAACATATATTCTGTCTTATTGTCAAGAAGTAAGGAAAATGATGGAAATTCAAAGGGAAAAGCTACAAACCATAGGAAAAGAGCATCTTCACCATTTTGAGAAAAGCTCCTGAATCCCATGATTCAACCATAATAGTTTACCATGTCAGTGGGCATTGGGAAGTAGAAATAGTGACAGGACAACGGCAAAAAGTGAAGAGTTAACTTAAAATTTGACCTGGGAAACGGCTCAGTGGATAAAGGATAGGAATTAGAATTTCTGACGTCTGTAACTCTGGGGAGATGCAGAGACTGACACAATCTTAGCCCGAGAGGTACAGAAAGTGGATCCTTGGAACAAGCTGGCTAGCTAGACTAGCTGGAAAGATAAACTCTATGTTCTGTGAGAAGTACTCTCAAAGTGGGATGCAGCTGGGGAAGAAATCCTGATGCCAACCTTAGGCTTCTATATGTATGTGTTTCTACACGTCTGCTCACATGCGTGTACACATGTATGTACTACACAAAAATAATTAGCTGAAACTTTATAATAATACTGTGTCATGAATATTGGAGGACAACATTTTTTTTTTATTACAATTTATTTTTTTTCTCAAATCGTAATTCATTCACACAGGGGTTATAAACACAGAAAGGCAGGATGTGGGGAAGGGAATGACACTGGAGTGTGGGTGATCAGGGGGAATACAGATATCTTCAGAACCGGGCATCGGCTGGGTGAAGGTTCAGGGGACAAGTCACTATGACTCTGCCTATGACTCGCTTGTCCTTATCTAAGTTGGTGTTGTCTGCCAAGGCTACCTATTTACAAGGTCTATGGCTACTCAGGCTTGTAGATTTCCACAAAAGCTGCCTGTTTACATTAGCTTATAACCATCTGTTTCAATGTTTTTCCACTGAGACCCAAGACTTGGTGTTAGTATACATGTATGACAGGCCTATTGCTGATTTTAGGCCTATGGCTGATTTTAGGCCTTCAGTGTGTAAGCAGGGCTGCCCCTGACATCTCCTTCCTTCTCTAAGTATAGAAGGGCTGTGGCAATTCTAAACTTGCAAAGGCGGGGATAGAGGCCTGACCTCCAGTAATTGAAGGGGACCTTGTAATGGCTCCAGTCCCCCTGTCGTTGTCCAGTGAGGCATGAGGGCCATACCTGTCCCGATGTCTTTTTCCTGGAGAGGGGATACTTTTGACATTAACCCCTATGCAGTCAGGCTGGAGGACAACATTTTTAAATGATAGATTTTAGTTAATGAAATAAACTTTCTAATTTTCATGTTTTGTAGGATATATTCTAAGTTTCATCAAAAAAGGATGGAAGAACTAACTGAAGTTGGCCTACAGAACTTTTTCAGCCTTTTTCTACTGTTAGCAGCTGTTGCAGAGATAGAAGATGTCGCAAGCCATGTTTTAGACCTCCTTCGTTTCCTCAGGCCTGCCTCTGTGTCACCTCATAGAGCCCTTCTTTGGAAGGGTCAGATGGCATTTCTCCTGATGTATGCCCAGAAAAACTTGGACATTGGTGTTTGGACTGACAAACTATCATGTGAATTCCAAGAGAAAGCAAAGGAATTCTTGGTATCTAAGAATGATGAAATGGTACAGAGACATACTCTATGGACAGTGCTTTGCATCTATATCGATGGTGTTCAAGAAGTATTTGAGACCAGCAGTTGTTTGTATCCTTCTCATGAGCATCTTCTCAATGATGGATTTAGCATGTTACTGCGAGCCTGTCGAGAGTCTGAACTCAGGACAGTGCTGAGCTTTCTACAAGCTGTTCTGGCCAGAATCAGGTATGTTTTCTAACAAAAGTAGTGATAAGCTTCACTTTTCATATAGTCCAAGTGTAGAAGAGTTTATTTTACTACTACATTGACTTACCAAAGAGGCAAGTTAGCCTGAGCAAGACCATGAGTTCAAATTTGATGTGGCTTTTAGGAAAGTCTATAGAATTTTGTTACCATGGGGAGGTATGGACTATTATATACTATTTTATTTTAATATTTTTTATTAGTGTGTGTGTGTGTGTGTGTGTGTGTGTGTGAGAGAGAGAGAGAGAGAGAGAGAGAGAATGAGAGAATACAAATTTTTTGGCAAATGTATAGGAGATCACAGCACAAATTCTGTCCTTCCACTGTAGAATCTTAGGGATCAAATTCTGGTTTGCACAGTAAAGGCTTTTACCTGTCAGCTGTCTCTCCACCTCCCACACTGTACAGCTTTTTTAAATAGTGTCTTTAAGTTATAGCTGAAAGATTATTTGTAATCTCTACTGCCTCAAATATTTCCTTCTGAATCTGTATATTCTGAAATTAATGTATTATTTTAACAGAAATCAATTATACAAGACTTATCTTTTTAGATCTGTTCAAATTGTACAGATATGCTAATTTACAGAAATACTCAGATCCTAAATTAATGATGGATAAAAACTACAGTTATAATTTGAATTTAGGTTATTTTGTAAGTTTTGCTTTTCAAGTAGGAGTTCTTAATAAATTAAACATTTCACTGTGTAGGCATTGTTGGTGAAAAGTTTCCTAGAATGTGTATGTAGAAATAGGTATTTTTTATAGGCTGAACAGGGCTAGAGACACCTAAAGCCCACCTCCAAAAAATCTCATACCCTCTTCTGGACATCTCAGGCACCTGCATTCATGTGTACATACCCCCCATACAAATACACAGTATGTATATAATTTTATTTGAGATTGTGTTGCAGATAATATAGAAGCTGCCTTCATAATATTGCATTAAAAGGTTAATTTACAGAATTTCAAAATTTATGCAATATCAATTTGTATCTTCCTTAATTTTCTTTACCCTTATTTACATGTTTTTAATCCTCACTAGTTTTCATATGTATGTGCTTACCCAGAAGTTTTCATCAGTAGTTATTCCCTTGCTTCTCCAAGAATATTCAAGCAAGAATGTTAAAAAAAATCCTCAGATGCTTTGATGTGTGAATAGACAGATAAGTAAATTAATAACCAATTTCATAAGAAAAAACCTTTTTAATTATGGATCTTTGAATAAAAACATTTTTGAGGTCACAGATTTTCTATTATCTAACAAAGACTAATTTCACTTTATTTACTTTTTTTTTTAATAAGTAGTAGCATTTCACTGTGCTTTCTACCTTAGCTAGAAATTTCTTTCTTATTCTAGTTTTGGTTTGTCTAAATATGTTTGTTTAATGTAAAGACAAGAAAGTAGAGGCACTATTCTGAACTGTTCTGGTAATTACGAACTGCCATCCTTAGAAGATTTAAAAACATCAAAAGGGAGGGGAGTTTTGTGTCTTGAGAAGAGAGAAAAAGATGGTTGTCTTATTTTAGTAATTTTTGTTTTTGAATCAGTAAAATGAATGGGGAAATGTGGAGATGAGTAAATTATATTTATCAAAATATTTGTCTGATTTACTGGTATCATATCAACCACCTCAATGTCATATTTGTGATTGATACAAAATTTTGTTCTTTAAAATTAAATTAGTAAATTATCTCTGCATTAAAACCAATCTAAAGATTATAAAAATACTGCTTAAAAGTACCTTATGAGGGTAGACCTGGGGATGGGGACTATGCTGTTTAAGAATTCAGAGATGATTGTAAGAACTGCAGGGAAAAAGTACACCCAACAATGAGGATTATATATAAGGTGAAGCAAGTTTACATTTGTGTTAGTAAATTTTCTTAACTGGTTCTAGATTGAATTTGAGGTTTGCCGTTCTTGGAACAGAGTATGTGTCTGTGTGTCTGTGCATGTGTATGCTGTTTATTCTTTAGCCTATGAAAAAGAGACAAATGTTTATATTGGTAATATTTAATTTTGTATACATATGTATATTTTTTACTTTGTTGTAAAATTTCTATTTAGAAAACTTTTATGTATACGTTCATATGAATGCAGGTTTCAGTGGAGGCCAGAGAGGTCCTAGAGGCCTAAGAGGGCATCAGATCCCCTGAGCTGGAGTTAACAAGCAATTGTGAGCTCTCAGATGTGGATGCTGGGAACCAATCTTGGATCCTCTGGGAAGCATTCTTAACCACTGAGTCACACTGTGACTGAGAACAAATGCCAAAAGAACTTAAAATCTTACAAAATTGATGTCAAAAATACAGCTTTGAGGGAATTCTACGATCAGTGTGAACAAAGTGAAGCAGCTGTGTACAAGTCTTTTAATGCTGTTACACTTTAGATTTGTTAACTTGTAAATTTCTGAATCTTGGATAGTAATTTGGTCACATCTGCATTAAAACTAATCACAGTGTATATAAAGACTGTGATTTGGATATTTTTATTTTAGCATTTTCAAGGTAAATATTGGTGGCATAGACAAGCATTTCCTTTAGAATATTTTGGTGAAGGTACCTAGAAATCATACAGAATTGTTTACTTTAAAAAAAAAAGGTAGGACTTTTTTTTTTTTAAGTACTCTGGTTATTAGAACATTGTGGTTTGTTCCTGACTTCTTAATTCAAAAATCTATAATTTGTTTTGAAGATCATTTTGTAGCCTACTTGAACTACAGTGTTTACTGAAAACACAGAAAAGCTCAAAACATTGTAGATAGTTTTAAAAAATTAAGCATAGGTACCCGCTTTCCCTGCTTTAGAGTTTAGAACAAAGCTAAATTTTTTGACTTTTGATTTAGGTAGAGAAGATGGATTACATTGATTGATGATATTTATTCTTGGCTGCATCCCTGGCCAAGGAAAAGGATGAAATACTTTACCTTAACAATCTCCTCTGTTTTCAAATTCAGATGGGAATAAGGTACCAGTCCTTGCATAAATGTGTGCGTAGTTGTGTGTATGTGCAATGTGAGAATGTGTGTGTGTGTGTGTGTGTGTGTGTGTAGTGTGGGTGTTGAATAAGTAACTGTTTAATAATTGTATGATAAAATTATAGAATTAAGATTACTGATTACAGGGAGAAGCTGCTTCCTCTAGGCTGTGAAGAAATAATAACTTCATATGCCACTTTCTGCTAACTGAAGCTGATGGCTCACCAGAGCATTCTTTATTGCTGATTAAGTAGCATTGTAAAAATACTGACTTGGTTATGTTAACTAAATACCTGTTTAAAACTCTAAATGTCAAGTAGGTTTATCGGTCATCTTTAGCATTTTACAATTTCTTTATGGAATCACATTTCTAGTTTTCACTTGCTGTTATTTGAGGTTAATATAAAAATGGCAGTCTTTCATTTGTGGTTAGGTGTAGCTGAAAGGTTTCTTTAATTATATCCATTTGGCCTGCTATAGCTAAGGGTCTGTCAGCATTTCCATTATAAACCTCTATTTTCAGGTTTTATAACATAGCTATGAAAATTAGCTCTGGGCAAAAACTTGACACATAACGCCTCATGGGATTCTCCCTCCTCCTCATCCTGCTTTTTCATTTTTACTGATGTAAGGGTGAGTGGTTTCAAAATGCCTTTTGGCACCTGCAAATATCATTTTGAGCTAAAAAAGAAACAATAAATTTTTAGGCTTTGTAGTTGTTTGTTCTAACACTTAAGGGAAATTGTGGACTTACGAATTTAAGCCAAATGGATATTGATCAACTGACATACTATTTTATATTAAACAAGAGCCTAGTATCAAAGAAGTCTAAAGGTATTGAAGTACTTGCCTAAAACACTAAATGCTGAGTCTAAAAGTATATAGCTTAAAGGGGGTGATTACATTTTTGTAATATGGCTTATATGCAACTTCTTAGAAGATGAAGTCTCTCTTCCCTGACCTCTTTTCCCTCTCTATGAGGTTATTTAACTGTCTTGATAGAGGAGGAGGAGTGTGTGACTAAACGTGTGTACACATGCATACGTAAGTTCAGATACATACTTTTAATTTCCATCAAATATTTTCTATACTTACTACTTGCTTTGACTGATGCGATATCATTTATTCTAAACAAGTTTTCTTTCTTTCGGGGAGAAAACTGAGGGTTCCCGATTAGGAAAGTAATAGGAGGTACTCTTGAGGGCCTGCTGTGCTATATACTATGCATGCTGTTTCAGAAAAAGTAAGATGAGCACTATGGACAGCATGCAGGCTTCTTCCTATCATTAGTGTATATTTATTAATGAAGATGGACTGTAGCTGTAATTACTGAAAAGTAGTTTAGTGCAAGTAAACCTTACTACATAGAACTTTTAAAATAAACCAAATCATTTCTGGTTTGCCCCAAATCCTATAGTATTTCATCATATATACTACTATGTAAATTTGAGGGATTACTATGTTATAGTAATTTGGGGGAGAGCACAAAAGAGTGTTCCACAGAGAAGTATATTACCAGACTGTATTTGACAAATTAAGTCAAGATATGTTGCTTACTCAAGACATCCATCTCCCATGTAACTCTGGTTGCTTCAGAGCTGACACAAGTATCTCTTAGGAATGTAATATAAACTTCAGTATTTAGGGAATATATAAAATATAAGCTACATAAATACATTTTTATGTTATTAAGTATTTTGATCTTATGGGGGCTAGAATTCAACACTATATTTATCTTATATATTTTGTAAATTTTATGTAGTAATATAAACTACATTCTATTAGATTAACAATACTTGCTTTTTTTGGAATTTTTCTTCAGTTTTGTACTTTTTCATATATAGATATTAATATCTGGATCATTTATTGAAGTGTCAATGAAGTTTGCTATATAGATAATCCATTTTTCTGCATCACAATAAAGTGATTTGTTTTTAAAGATCATGTAAGAAAATATTTTTATACCCATATCTTTACTGGCAAGGATTTAGAAGTGAAGGTTTA